AACTGTTGTTTTACATTGGCGAATCCCATTTCAAATCTATTTGGTGCTGTAGACACTGAAACGCCGCCATATGATGTTATCAGTAAAGGTGCAAAATATGAAGTTCGTCGTTATCGATCACAATTATGGGCACAAGTAGAATATACTGTTGATGCATCAACAGATTTTGGTGATAAACTATCGATCGGATTTCAACCGTTATTTCAATACATAACGGGTAAAAATGATAAAGAACAAAAAATTCCCATGACAGCACCAGTAGTTATGCAACAAGTAAATTCTGATTCTACTCGCCGACGAATGGCATTCATCATGCCAGCAAGTGAATTTACAGAACTTAGTCAATTACCAAAACCAACAGATTCAACTGTTAAACTCATTGCTGTCAATGAACCTTTAGCTTTGGCTTGCGTAACATTCAACATGGGTATCACAAGTAAACGGGTTGATACACGCGAAGAAGAACTTCGTCAAGCAACAACTGCGGATAAAATTCAATTAGTAGCTGGCCGTGAAAATGTTCGTGTTGGTGGTTACAATCCACCATGGACATTACCTTGGTTTAGAAAAAATGAACTCTGCATTCCACTGGTTAATCAAGCTTAAATAATCAAAGACTTGCGTGTTTTCTACTGTATTGATGCATAAGATTAAGAATTTAATAAAACGTTGTAGATTGTGAAAGCGCTTTCTGTAGTTATCGCACATACAGGCGTCGCTACCTTTCATTTTAAAAAAATCTCGTCCGCTCTTTGAGTTGGTCGATGACACAGACGAATCAATTTATTTGCTCTGAGTACGTACGTACGTGCACACACACCTAGATCAAATCTATCTAATTCAGATTCAGATCATATTTCATGCTATCCCAATTCATCCGTCGTCTTTCAACCTCTCCATTAACTCGCGTTCGTCATCCTAAATTGTGTCGATCGACAGACTATGCGACTTTAACTGATAAAGATGTCAACTTTTTCGAACGCCTGCTTCCTCGTGGCAGCGTGATAACAAATCCTGACGATTGTGCGCCGTACAATATAGACTGGATAAAAACATGTCAAGGACAATCTCAACTTGTCCTACGACCGAAAACTGTCAAGGAAGTTCAAGCTATTCTTCGTTATTGTCATGAACATCAATTAGCTGTGTGTCCACAAAGTGGAAATACTGGCCTTGCCGGTGGTTCAGTGCCAGTCTTTGATGAAATCGTTCTTTCATTTACTTCGATGAATTCGATCGGTGACTTTGATGAGAACAGTGGTGTTTTAACTACGGACGCTGGCTGTATTCTACAAACATTGGATACTCACGTACGAAAGTTTGGACATACAATGCCGATTGATTTGGGTGCGAAAGGCTCATGTTTAATCGGTGGAAATGTTGCTACGAATGCTGGTGGACTACGTGTTGTCCGTTTTGGTTCACTTCGTTCGGCGATTCTCGGCCTAGAAATCGTTTTAGCTGATGGTAGTCTGTTGGATTGCTTAACATCATTACGAAAAGATAATACCGGTGTTGATCTTAAACAACCATTCATTGGTTCGGAAGGTATCTTAGGTGTGATTACACGTGTAGCATTAGCATGTCCGTTGGCAATGCCTGGTGTTGGACTCGGATTTTTTGCTTGCTCATCATTCGAACAAATTCTGTCTACTATGAGATTAGCGAGACGTATCTGTGGTGAAACATTATCTGCCGTGGAGTTTCTTGATGAATCAACTTATAACTTATCGTTAAGAAATTTAAAACGAGCACAATCACCGATCGAACCAAATAAATTCTATATTTTAGTCGAAACTATGAGTTCGACGGAAGAACACGCGAAAGCAACATTGGAAAAACTAGCTAACACCGCGTTAGACGAAGAGTTTGTCACTGATGGCACTTTAGCACAAGATTTAACGCAATATCAAGATTTATGGGCAATACGTGAACGTGTTCCTGAAGCGCTCGTTGCTGACGGTTACGTATTTAAATACGACTTCTCTCTTCCACCGTCTCGCATGTATAAACTAGTCGAAGAAACTCAACAACGAATGAAGCCTTTTTCGAATGTTCGAAATGTCACCGGTTTCGGGCATCTAGGTGATCAAAATCTTCATTTGAATATTACTGTTAAGAATGGATATTCCGATGAGATTAAGCATGAACTCGAACCGTGGTTATACGAATGGGTTGCAAAAGAACGTGGATCTGTTTCGGCTGAACATGGTCTTGGTTTACATAAATCGAAATATCTTCAATTGAATAAAGGCGAACAGTCATTAGTATTGATGAAACAAATGAAGAAAATGTTCGATCCAAAATGTATTCTTAACCCTTACAAAGTTTTACCTTATCAAATAGATTAGATTGTTTCTTTTTCTTGTAATCTACACCAAGATTCGCTATTCACAATACAAATTTCGATACATAGAATGAAACCTTCTCTACCGACCTATGAAAAGAATATTTACCAAGGGCACATTTGTTTTTCATTTCATTGTCATATCGAATAAACATGTCAACATATTGATAAAAATCATAATAGCCGATGAGATGAGACTGGCACAAGTTTCTTCTTCTTTGTCTGAGAAATAAAACTAAATTTCTCGAAATTCTGTCAGTTAATTTGACAATAACATCAANCTGTTTGTTTACAAATGAGTACCAACAACGAATACAACCGTGTAGTAATAGTCTGTATGTGTTGTAGATAAACAATAGAATTTGCAACAACCAGCAATATTATTCACGAAGTCTGATATAACGCTATCGACAGGATTTGTATATATGAATATATAAAGCAGTCGAAGATGAGCGTGCCCGTGGTCAAAGAAAGAAAATATGTGCATTTTGTTTTCAGCAAATAAAATCGCGCCGTACGATACTGAAACTTTTTAGTTGAGTATACAGTCACTTTTTATTACCACTAAAAATAGTGAGAAGAAATTGTCATTGTTAAAGTCAGATAAACATGTTTGGATTAATTCATGTTCTTCTCAGTAGTTGCAGAAACCTCTCCTAACACATGAAAAGTATCCTCCCATATTTGTTCTGATTAGAGAGCTCTCGCTCCAAAGTATCATCTTCTGATGGTAAATGTTGTTGAGTTTTCAGTTTAGAACTAATATTTCCAACAATAGCCATGGCCAAGTTCAAGATAACGAATGCGCGCACAACGAGACTTATTTCAATATACATATGTAATTTATAAGTAATGCCCGCCCATTGAACTCGCTGGTATGATACTAAACTGTTAGAAATATATCGTTCAGCATACTTGAACCACCACAGAGACTTGTCTCTTTGTAAGAAAAAAGTCGTTTTTGCCTAGTCAATTATCATGACCTATCCATAATATCCTATGTTTTTCTATTTCTATTCCACTTCAATAAACACGTTTAACTTTATACCATGTTTAAAACCAATGACATCCTATTGTACATCACATTATGTTCTGTTTTGCAGCGCAGAAAAGCAACAGGTTCACGCATACTTATAATAGATCGGAAAGATCTCATTTCAAATAGACCATATATCGAATAAGATTCGAAAAAAAGATGCACAAGAAGAAGCTAATGTAAAGTTTGAGATTCCCAGTCTTAATTACGCTTTAAAGGATGGTTGCTCAGAGCGAGTAAACTTCAGCGGATGCGATGGGAATACGCCGAAAGTCGACGATTCTTAGCATTTCTGGCATCCGACAAAATCCCATCTTTTTCCTAGCGAATTTCTGCAGATTCTGAAAGCTCGATTACTTGTTGTTTGTTTTTAATTCGTTTCTAATTCTCTTTTCTGAAAGAACGAGTAATAGCGTATAAAATACGGTCGTTAAAATGCTGAAAGTTTGTTTGCATAATCCAATCAGATTGCAGCATTTTATAAATCAATAAAAACCTAACCATACTTATTAGAAAACGATTGGTGGTAGGTAATTGGAGTCGAGGATCTCGAAAATGACGTTAAATTTTTCTTAGTCACGAACATTCGGCTTCTTGCTCCTTTTCAGAAGAGATATTTTTCTGTACCGTTCTAAAATCTATTGTAGGAGGTAGTGGTCTGAACGCTACTGCTGGATGTGATGTGGACAAATAGAGCAGTTTAGGAGTTTACAGAAGAAGATTTAATATACCATGCATCATGATATTTCTGTAACGACAAACTGGTTGAGTAGCTGACCGCTTCTCATGGTATCGATGTTTATTGACTACTCTACATGACCAGAATGTGTCTCTTTCACAATAAGACACGCGCTTATATAGAGAAGAGGAAAGAGAGATATGACCCGGAGATAGTATGATATAGAGGTGAGAGAATAAAGAACAGAAAGAGATGAACGATATCATTATCGTTACAGATAGTCTCAAGGAACATCAATATATTGAAGAATGTATTTCTCGAATTATATCTCATTTGATTCCAATGGATTCAAATATATGAATATTGAATGCTTTCGTCTTTTCTATTCATCTGACTTTCGTTAATAACTATACCACAATCGCACCCATGTCGTCGAGTTTTTAACAAAACCGTCGGTTAAAACTTTTTTTAGGAAGTTATACCGAATTTTTCTAAATTCGAGATCATACGGTAACACTGTAACGAATGATTATTTTTTATAGCGTCATCTTAAATTATGCTCAGACTCGAAGACTAGACGAAATTACGCGATGTGACTGATTCCAGCGGCTTCAGCACGCTTACAAATATAAGAAGTCATGATTTTGACTAAAATCTGACAGTTTTTTAAGATTTAAAAAATATTTGTTCAGTGAGAAATGAAAAAATATATTGCTGTAGAACCCCGGTAAGTGGAACGGTTAACCTCGATTAAACGACGGTTCTGGAGCGGTTCGAGTAACATGGGATAACAGATAGTTATGCGAATCTTTAATTAAGATAAAATCCATATTTTATTAAATAGCACACATGCGACACTTTAAAAACATGAAGCGAAATTTGTAAAAGAAAAATACAAGTAATATAAAGCTGACATGAAAGTTATTTTTCATTCAATATTAATTACCATTTGAGTTTTTATCCGTTCGACATCGACAAATATTAAAAGATTCTTTAAATTCTTTCATATATAAAGTTGACGGTACGACAAAAATAACAAAGATAAATATCGATGGTGTAAATGAAAAGAAATAAGCAATAAGATATAACCAAATATTTTTTGATGTTCGTATACAACCAGGTAATGATGAAATAATTAAACGTGGCATTGTTAAAATAAGTAAAACAATTGGACTAATAATCAAATGTTTATGTTCATGTAATTGATGACGAAGATGTTCTCGAAAAGATTGATTAGTTTGTGCTGATGATCGTTGACGAGCAGTTTTAAAAATGATAAATAAAGCTGAAAATAAATTAGCAAGAAATGGAATGGTAAGATGAAAATATAATATTCCAGTATTGTAATTTTGAATAGAAGACGAATAACGAACTACACACGAGAAGCGTTGGTCAATTTTATTTTGATAAATTGTATCGATCATTGTTTTATTTTTTACATTTAATGAAGGACTATCAGTTTTATTAACATAAGCTTTGTCAATTTCAGTTTTGTATTCAAACATATTTCGATGTGAAGGTTCATGAATAAGGCTAGCCATAATACACAATGGTAAAATAAAGATAATACATTGAGCAATACGTTTACTCTTCTTTTTATCAAAATGAACTCCACTGTAAACTCGTCCTGATCGTTCAATTGCGACACAAGCATTTAACCAAGTATCACAATAGAGAAAAAGTTTAAGAAGAGGTTCAATAAATAAACAACCTCCACGAAGTATTGACAAATTAGTCACAACATAAATTTCAGTAAGTAAAGCAAACCAGAAATTAATTAAAAACATACAACATGTTATAAAAGAAGTAATTGATAATGTAAATAAATATAATCCACATCCAATTTGTCGTTCTTCTTTACTTTTAAATGTTAAAAAAGAAAAAAAACTATTTACAAATCCAATAATGAACATAATAATTGTAAAAGCAGCACTTATTTTAATTGAAATTGGTTGATTAGATAATGTTACATGTGATCGAATTTCACCACGTAAAATATCATCTAAAGGTAAACCAATTGTTGTTGAATAAAAATGGCAACGATCTTTAATTGAACAACTTTGTTTTTTTGCATCTAAAAAAATCGATTAAAGAAGATTTGTATTCTTTTGATTATTAGTATATACACATACGGAAATAATTCATAGTAACATTATTTTCGCCAGATATGAATATAGTAAAATTTCCTGTAGCATTTGGATAATATGTTGTTACAACTAAGATATATTTTGTATTTTCATCGAAAGTTCTATCGAATTTCAATTGTCCTTGATTACATTTACCACTATGTTGATCAATTAAATTACCAAAAGGTTGCAATGGATCAAAATCATCCTTATAAAGATAACCATATGTATCGATTTCACTTTTACTCCAAAGAACATATGAACCTGTTTTTTTAACATTAATTTCTAAAGTTCTATAATAATAACTTGGTTTTTTATAATCACGACAATATTTTTGACTATCCATTGTGAATTGAAATGAGTATTCAGATTGAATTTTCACTGATGTACCTATTCAATCACAATAATATAATTTCATCTGAGAAAAATACGACTCATGCTAGAATATCTGCGCAACAAAATTGTCATGAAAAATCTTTTTTGATAAGCATGGTTTCAATGACTTTTAGTGTGTGTATCTATCAGGACTACGCAACAAACACAGAACCTTGGAAGATTCTAAAGTTCTGTGAATCTGATACTTAACTGAACAACTTCGTTTATCAATGTTGATTTCGCACATTTGGAGACTTTTTCAGACAAAGTTTTGATAGAAAAGTACGTTTTGGAATCAACATTACAAACAGAGTCGATTCATATATATATGTCGTAGGCCAAACTCGGATTCCGGCCAATCCGAGTTTGGCCTACGACATATATTTTCAAAAATTTTTAGAAAATAATCTCTTTGTTCTCCTCCTCCGTTTTCTTTTGGAAAGTTATCGTGTAAATGGCCAGATAAGCACAGCGACTGATTAAAGTAGTGTATCCACTTCTTAACTAATTACTTACTCAAAGGTTCGATAGTCATATTCTTCAATCCTGATATATAAATTGTAATGTTTCCAATTTTCATTGGATAAAATGTCGTGACAACCAATATATATGTTGTGTCATTATAAAGAGGAAGTTCAAATTTAAATTGCTCATCATCATCACCCTCACCCTCATGATCATCATCATCGTCATCGTCATCGTCATCATCATCATCATCTTTAAAAAGTAGATTATCATTTGGATTAAGTGAATCAAAATTCGTTTCATAAATATAACCATATGTATCGATCTCAGCATGACTCCATATTGAATAATAACGACTTTCTTGTACTTTTATTTCAAATGACTGATAATAAAAACTTTCCCAATCACAATTTTGAGAATATAACTGACTATCTTTCGTCAATGGTGATAAAAATGTCCGTTTAATAACAGATGACATATCTAAAAATAAATAAATATAAAAAAAGAATTTGCATATATTTTCATTGAGATTTGTAATTACCACAAGAATTTTTCAAATAATGAAATTTTTGTATTCGATTATTTCCAGAATCAACAACAAACATATTTCCAGCATTATCAAAAGCAAGATTAGATGGAAATGATAATTGATTAAATTTGACACTAATTCCATCACATCCAATAACACAATGAACACCATTTGTTCCTGAACGAAGAATACGATGATTATATGAATCAACAATGAATAAAAATTGTTGAGAATCAAATGTAAGACCGGTGGGACATGAAAGTGGATATCGATGTTTTGCTGATGATGTATCTCCTATTTCTGTAATCGCATCTAATTCACCTAATGGGAATCTTTGTATTCGATTATTTCCACAATCTGCTACAAATATATTGAGTTCTGTATCAACATAAATTCCATGTGGTTTATTTAAAGTATTTGAAGTTGATCCTTGATCACCTGTACCAACTACGGGAATCGTTGCTGGAATAACTTCATTCAAATCTCGTTTAATGACTAGATGATGTTTAGGCATTGAACAATATAAATGATTATTTCTATCGATAAATAATCCAAAACAAGATGAATAAACATTCATTTCATTGACAAATCTTTTTGTATTCAAGATCCATTTCTTTATTCGACCATTTATTCCATTATCAATGTAAATATCACCATTTAAAGCAACAACTAGAGAATATGAATCAAAGAAATCAGGAGGAATATTTATAGGACGTTGAATATTAGATTCATTCCAAATTAAGATTTGTTTTTTCTCTCGATTGAGGGAATAAATGAAATTTTTTTCATTTATAAAAATACTTGAAGGATCTAAACCAATTGTTGACTGATCAGTAAAAGTAATTCCATTTCGATTCCAAACAGGTTTTGAACAAAATCTTGTTATATTCAATGGAAACTCTATATCGGCAAAGAAGAAATAATTCTTACATAGACATATTTAATGACACATAATCGAGGCAAAAAATCAGACGAATACTTTTTTATTCGTTGAAAATCCGAAATATCCATCGAGCGTGGGAATATGCTGCTGTCACGATCAAAGAAAAAAAGTATAGAACAAGTGCCGCCAGAACCTACCGAATGTTTTAGGCGCTCTGCAGCCTACACATTCTCTCTTGGTCGCGATGTTTCTTTGCAAATCTATAGCTTTACGAAACTCGAATTTATTGAAAACGAATCTACTGCTACTAATCGATTAAATTCATCTAGTCTTTTAGTAGAATATGCTCTCTAGTATCAAAATAATGTCTAAAATTCATGAATTTTCAAAAAACAAAACAATTTATCACATCTATCTCACCGTCATGAGCACTCCTGTCGTAAATGTCAGATCAATTATTTGTTCTCGAATTCATATTTTTAGACTCAAAAATAAAATGTAGAATATTTCTAGAAAAACTTATGAAAATTATATTGATAAACTTTTAAGATAAACTAGAAATTAAGCTCAGAATATTTCTCTCTTTGATATTCTTGTTGTAAAACTCAAAAGAGAAAAATCAATAACATAAAGATTCATATTTATCTTATTCGTGTTTTTACCATTAATAAAATATAATCTCAATTAATATTTTTCTTTTTCAAAACAATCAATGAAATCAAAACATAATTTTGATTATTGAGTTTATTCATAATTCAACTTTTCTTTACATTCGATTAAACTGAAAACGTTCGATAAAGTGCTGACAAGAAAAGAATTTTTATCAAAATATTGAATTTTGAAAACTTCGATTATGATTCTTTTGTTTTCTTTATCTCTTTTTCTTATGCAAACTTTCAGAATACTTTTTTTCCTTTACCAAGTGAAGTATTCCATAATTGAAATTTTAATATAACTTACCACAAAAATTTTCTAATTGAAATTTCGTAATACGACAATTTTCGCTATCAACAAAAAATATATTTCCAAAACTATCAAAACTCATTGAATATCGAACATCGAGTGGATTAGATTGAACTTTTCCATCACATCCAAGTAAACATCGAAAACCATATGGTCCTTCTCCAACAATTCGTTGATTACCTCCATCTACAATGAATAAATATTTCTTAGCATCCAATATAATTCCCATAGGGTGATTGAGTTCAATAGTTCGACGTGCCGATCGCGAACCAGCAACTGTGATGGCATTTGTTTCTTCAAAAGGAAATAATTGAATTCGATTATTCATAGCATCTGCTACAAATAAATCAAAGTTAACATCAACAAAGATTCCGCGAGGATTATTAAGGTAATTCGAATCAGATCCAGCTCTATCCATACCAGCAACAACTATCGCATCTGTTGAAGAACTGTTCAAGTCTATTTTTGATACTTGATGTTCAGAGAACGTTGAACAATATAAACTACCGTTGATATCGATGAAGATGTTGAAACATCTGCTTGATCGATTCATAACAATGGTAGAAGTATTTGTTTTCGAGCTCCATCTTATTACATTATTTTTCTCATCATCTATACTAATATAAATATCACCATTCGATGTTACAAATATAGATGAAAGATCTTCGAAGTTGGGTGAAATAATTTGTATTGGATTGATACTATTGTTATGCCACACTAAAACTTGGTCCTCGTCGCGACTAATGACATAAATTGAATTTTTTGTATCAATAAAAATATCTATGGGATCCCCATCAATAATCGAATCGTTGGCCAATGTTATTCCATTACGATCCCAAGTTGCTGTATGACAAATTTCTGGTTGATTATATGAAACAGCTAAAATATATAATAAGAAAAGAGTTTTTCAGTGTATCGTAACAATTGTAATAATTAAAACACATATGTTTAAATAGGATTATCAAAATACTTAGAGTTATTTAATTTAATTTACTGATGATCATTATTGAAATGAAAGTTTAACCCTTTACCCACCGGCACTAATCTAACACAACTGTCGCTGAGTTTAGCATAGGAGTAGCATACATATGTGGTCAGTATAACACTGGTATGACAAGATTTGAATCAAGTCGTTCCATTATAGAGACACATGATGGGTCAAAAATGACCCATTCGTATCGAATGACATTAAAGTTGCATTTTTTCATTAATCTGAGTTTTGATTAATTTTGTGTTTTTATCCTAGCGCTTGGAAACTCCGCCTTTGCCTTATCTATATCGGCCTAGGTATACATATATCCTGCAATATTTTTTGCGAAATTGAAGTGCAATGAGGACAGTATGCAGTTTGTCGCTGAGAAAAGCGGCTGCTTTTGAGCTCTGATAGTGTCTTTTATCTACAAAATCTCGTTGAAACTAATTATCCATGTTCTTTTAATACTATAGGATCGGTGCTCATGATAACGCTATGAAACTGGCTGTTTCTATCGTTTTATTATGATCTACAAGACAAATTATAACAAAAATTAAGAGTTTTTGTCTTTTTATCGATAAAAATTGATTCAGAAACAACAATATACAGTTTTCTTTGACAGATGATGAGTGTTTGGTAATTTTAAGCATAGATATATTGTTAATCCCTAATTTAAATCGAAACGTAATAAATCTTAGAAAAAACTTTTAACCTCATTCAGTACGAGTGGGTCATTTTTGACCCATGCTGTTGCAAGGACTGGTATTTCCATGCTTTGAATGAATAGTTTTTTCCAAGTGTCTGCATAAATAGCTAGTGCTCGCAGTAATATATATCAGTTACTCAAACAGAAAAAATACTACACAATGCATATAAAAAATCAAAAACCAAAAAATAACGAGGATTTTCCATTTTTCTGAAAATTCGCTATTTTCCGAGCCCAATATCTCATTCAAGGAATGATGGGAAAACATCTTAATTTTTATCAACATATAGCTTGTTGAGAGCTATACATAATGTCAGAGAACTGTCTCAAATCCAGTGATTTATTGTTGCAAAAAATGTGATTTCTATGAATGGGTCATTTTTGACCCACCGAGGGGGGGGGGGAGTACAGGGTTAATTATAACATTTATTTTTATTTTTCAGTTGACGAGAAGAAGTTTCGAGGATTTTTTAAATGGAGTGAAAAATCTGTTTTGATAATTCGCATTTTATATATAGAAATGGATAAAAATATTTTCTCTCAACTATTATATTACCGCAAATGATAACATCAAATTTCGAGAGACGCACCTCGAGGGTACTGGATGAACTTTGATTCATACTCCCTTATACTTCTTATCTGGTTTCTATGGTAGTTCCCTGAATCAAGTGGCAGAGTTAAAGACGGTTGACGACACATACCAGAAGTTAGGACAGCCTGTTTGGATGAAACTTCATCCAAGTGGGATACTAACTCCAATACAATATTGGTTGAACTTTTGAGCTTTATCGTCATAACGTGCGTAGATTCGCAATAGGTGTAACCTCAATCAGGAGCCTAAGACTTGAAATGCCACCTGTAGGAAGAAATATATATATATATATTTAGCAGAAGTAATAGAAAAAGGTTTTGCATTAGGCATTGTAGGAAAAGGAGTGGATTAGGGTTGCTACATAGTATAAGTTATTCTATCTTAGATATGTATATTAGGATATGTTGTCGATGTGAAGCTTACACTAAAAGTTTAAATATGTTTCATCTCATGAATAGTACGTTGTCCAAGATGATATACGATGTAACACCCTAGAGAATATCTGTGTAAGTACCAAAACGAATTCTCTGATTCCGACAACGTATCATTCAGAAGTTAGAGTTTGTGTAAATTCTTGGTGCTAACTTCATATCGATCTCTTCTTATATATTGTTATGACACTCAGATAAATAGAAATCAATTTTCCTTACTTTTTTCAATAATTATTTTTGAATATTGTCAAATTATGATATTTTTTGACAAGGACTTATTTCATATTTCATTTACTAATGAATTTTTCTTTATTTAACTGTTATTATTTTTGTTCTACTCACCAGAAGAGATGTTCGTCAGTTGAAATTTCATAATGCTACTATTTTTGTTATCAGCAAGATATATATTTTTGGTATCAACAACAAATATATTTCCAAAGCTATCAAAACTCATTGAAACTAGATCTGGATCATTAGATTGAAAACCATATCCATAACATCCAATTAAACATCGAAAACCATATGGTCCTTCTCCAACAATTCGTTTATTACCTTTATCTACAATGAATAAATATTTCTTAGCATCCAATATAACTCCAGTAGGCTTATGGAGGTCAACAGTTGGACGGGCCGATCGCGAACCAGCAACTGTGATGGCATTTGTTTCTCCAAATGGAAATAATTGAATTCGATTATTATGAATATCTGCTACAAATAAATCAAAGTTAACATCAACAAAGATTCCGCGAGGATTATTAAGGTGATTCGAATCAGATCCAGCTCTATCCATACCAGCAACAACTATCGCATCTGTTGAAGAACTGTTCAAGTCTATTTTCGATACTTGATATTTAAGAGCCATTGAACAATATAATTTATCGTTGATATCGATGAAGATGTTGAAACATCTGCTTGATGGATTCATAACAATGGTAGAAGTATTTGTTTCCGAGCTCCATCTTATTACATTATTTTTCTCATCATCTATACTAATATAAATATCACCATTCGATGTTACAAATATAGATGAAAGATCTTCGAAGTTGGGTGAAATAATTTGTATTGGATTGATACTATTGTTATGCCATACTAAAATTTGTTTGTTGGCGCCACCAATGACATAAATTGAATTTTTTGTATCAATAAAAATATCTTTGGGATTCACACCAATAATCGATTCGTTGGCAAATGTTATTCCATTACGATCCCAAGTTGCTACTGAAGACAAATTTGGTTGATTGAATGAAACAGCTAAATTATATGTATATAAAAAAAAGCCAAATGACAATTTTCTCTTTTTAAACATATTGTTTTTGAAAAAGAAAACGATTCAAAAAGAAACTCATTCAAGAGTTAAGGATATATCAGGGACGGAGTCGATCTGTCTTGTTCCAGACACGAAATAATCGTTTTAGCTTTAATTTTCCAAAAAATCAATATACTCATCTGAATTTTTCATAATCTCATTTAATTCTGTAGAATTTTCGTATTTTAAGACTATAGAGAAGATTAAGATCTTGCTAAACCCGTAATTTTAATTATTTATTATAAAAACAAATAAGTTTTTCTAAATGAAAAAAATTTCTTCTACGCAAAAAAAAGAGAAATTCGTTTTAAAATAACAAACCTAATGTTTCATAATTGAAAATAAGAATGAAAATATAAATATTGTACATTGTTCAATAAAATAAATGAGAATGTATATGCGTTTTCTTTGATCAAATATTTTTAAATATTATGAAGATTTCATAAGAGTTTTTATATAGTTTAATATTACAGAAGCTCAATTAATCTTCCAGAATTTTCTGTTGATTATTTCTAAAGATCATGTATTATTACAGGTGAGTTTTATTAACAAGTTTTTAAATATGTCAAAATATAATTGATCATATCGAAGAGAATATGTTATTATTGCGTATGACTTTAGAAATAGTATAGTTAGATATACATGACTTTTATAATATTTATTAACACAAATAACGCTCGTCGATGGAGACTCGCATTACCCTCGACTAATTGGATTATACTTCAGATAAAACTTGCCCTTCCAAATGATCTCAGGTCGAGCATTCCGGCTGCCGGAACCGGCACGGAACCGAGACGGAAAACATCGGAAATCGATACAATTCTGCAGGTTCCGTCTCGGAAAACAGCTGGATAGCACCGGATATTCGCCGGTTCTTTGTCGCGGGATTCCGGTCGGACTACACGAGGAAATTTACTACGTGCTTCAGTCATTCCTTTGCACCGGAAACGCCATCGCTCTCCTCCATTCCTGTCAGCGGATCCGAAGGGGAACGCGCATGAAACTTTCCGTCGTATTCCAACTTTTTCCGCTCATCAAAAAAGGAAAAAACCACCAGATATCTAGTGCACGGACCTTGACCGGATCACACACTGTACTTTCCGATCGATCAATATTGCAGGATACTGCCTATAAAGTTTCCTACAAAAACCGCCGACTTCCACACACCGGAAGTTCGCAAACCATGTTATTCTCGGTAACCGGCGCCTCCGAGACACGGGACGATCCTTTTTTGGTTAAGTAAAATGAAGGTTTCGCAGGAAACTTTTTTCTTCAAAAGACAGAAGATTCCGTATCATAGGTACCGTACGGAACCATGTGTAACTATATTAAAAAACGTTTTGTGAAAATCCATAGCTGCGAAACCTTCGCTGCATTAGTTGTTCTCTTGGGTTAGTCACAGACTCCTTTATAGTTATCCTCCCACAGGCTCCGTATTCAGTCACTACAGAATATAGGTTGTGGATGGGCGAGGGTGCGGGCGTTCGGAATGACTGGTACGAAACGTAGTTCACCCCTTTCGAACGTCCACACACCTTCACCCACCCTTTCATCGTGACACGAACGTGAGAGTAGGTTCTAGCCGGTCCAGTAGATCTATTGCGATAAACTCTAAACGAGAAAGACGATAGAACGTGGTTTATTAAATATTATCGCTTACCTAGTTGAATGCCACGCTATTGAGAATTTTCCGTCGATAGATTTGCATCGATATAGTGACGACTAGTAAGAAAAACTAGAAATAAACAGAAAATGAAAATTGCATGGATATTTATAGGGTCTCATCGGACGGTCTATTGAAAACTGGACGTCGGCTGGTGTAAAGGGCTATGTCTTTCAATGAGTCTTCTCCTTTTCCTAACTGAACCAACGGCAGATATCAATGGTTTGGTAGAGGGTTCGCCGAACAGGAACAATAATTATGAGATCATTAATTGTTTTGCGGAACTTATACGTAACTACTGACCAGTAGAAAAATATATTTGTATATACGAGTAAATTATGGGAAACCTTGAGCCGCTATACGAAAGTAGGGATAGTTTGGTACAAATACTGCCAAGCCTTCATTCATTCGACGGAGTAGATAATGATTTCCCAAAGGTTATACTGAACTAATCAGAGGCATACAGAACTCGTCATAGTTTAGTGTATATTTGTCAAACCTCTGACTAATATACAAAGCCAGCAATAGTTTGGCATGAATTCTGCCGAATCTTACGCGAGAAAAATAAACCGATCTTAGTTTCGTCTAAATTTCATCAAATCATGAATAAGTACACGGAATCGCTGATGATTTCGAAGAACTTCTGCCGAACAGTTACTCGTTCTACGAGTTTTTTGATAGTCTTGAATAAATCCTACCGAACTTGCGATTACTGTACGAAGCTATTGATATTTCTGCAGAAGTTTCCCTGAGCTATTGATAGTTTTGCAAAGCTGTTAACAAATCATGAGTGAGCTCACAAAAACCTTGGGCGATTTTGCTAGAAATCTGGACAACCCTAAGCCAAAGTACGACATTAATGATGGTTCTGCAGAAGTTATGCACAACGTCTTTGTAGTACATGAAAGTATGTACCGTTCTGTGTAACGAAAACGAAACCATTATACGAGCTGCTGAATTCTAGATAGTTTTATGCTAAAGGTACGGAACCGTTTCGAAGCTGGCAGTATTTTGGTTCGTTTCGTATAAAATGCACAAAACCAATACCAACTTGACTAAGGCAAAAATGTTCGGTATTATGTGTGCGAAACCTTGCTTTTCCTTACTGAGGTCCTAATCGTTCAGTATAAGTCGTGGGTTAGCTTTATGAACTTATACGAAGCTGTGAATAGTTTTTTGTACATGAAACCGAGTCTTCAAAGACACAATTGGATGATGAAAAGTTTCGCATGTACTATACTGAACCTTTGATAGACATAAATGATATGCCATTGGTTGAGCACGAGACATGCAGAACCATGGCGAGTTTAGTAATGAGCATGCAGAACTTTTGGTTAATTTTCGAAATTTATAAAGATTCGTACATGCTATGCGAAACTCAGAGCCGATCAGTACTGAATATACTGAACCTTTGATAGACATACGAAACCCCACAGGAGTTTGTATTGAGTGTACTGAGCTTTTAAGAATTTACAAACTCGTTATTGGCTTCGACCATTCCACAGGAAACCAAGTCTAGTTTAGTTTAAAATGTTCTAAACTTTTCGAAAACTGACGAACCATCGATGCATCGGCGTGAAATCGTCTGATCCATCAACTTGCCTGCGAAACTAGGAATAGTTTCGTAGAAAATTGACGAAACGTCTCTTCACACTCCTAAACCGCTGATGGTTCTGTAGACATGTTACAGAACTACGAATGGTTTCGCATACTGCATTAAAAACATGTGGATGGTTTTTGCTACCAATTGCCGAACCTTCTCGACGCTACGGAACTTAAAATAGTTCGGCAGTTCAAGCACGGAGAATTTTTCGTTTTTCTGAACTAAAAATCGTTCAGTCGAAGTATAGGAAACCTTTTAGGCTCGGTAAAACTCCTTATTTTTTTTGAGTGTAACAACTCCATATCATCCGATTTCCAATGGCCAAATAGAGAGATTCAACGCTACGTTTGCTCCATCATTAGCCAAGCTAATTGATGAGCAGGAAGAAACGTGGGACAATTTTTTGCAATCAGTGTTATACGCATATAACACTAGTGAGCACGCCACAACCAGTCATTCGCCGTTCAATATTATGTTTGGACGCGAGAATCCAATAATGATGGATCCTAAACAATTAACAATTTCGTTGTCGAAGCCAAATGAATATTATGAAAATTTCAAATTGTCAAGAAAATTGATGATCAATCACTCGAAATGGAATGCACAACGGCGAATGCAACAAGCAAAAATCAGATATCATATAAATAGACCCGAACCAACATATCATATAAATGATTTAGTTTTAGTACGGGTAATCAACAAGACATCGAAGTTGGACGAAAAATATGAAAGTCCGTATCGCATTGTGGAACAGAACACTGAAAAAAAAAGGTGTTTTACCAAACCAAAAAAGCAATCGGTCGGCGGGCACAATCGCTAAACCTCACATGGTTTTGTCGCAAAAAGGTTTCGTATCGACCCTTTACATGATCGATGATAAAAAA